ACATAAATCCAGTTACGCTGAACTTAATAGAAGAGAAAGTAGGAAGTACTCTTGAATGCATTGGCACAGAGATCACTTCCTAAATACAACACCAGCAGCACAGACACTGAACACAACAATTAATAAGTGGGACCTCTGGAAACTGAGAAGCTTTTGTAGGGCAAAAGACACAGTCAATAAGACAAAGCGACAGCCTACAGAATGGGAAAAGACCTTCACCAACCCCACTTCTGACAGAGGACTGATCTCCAAAGTATATAAAGAACTCAAGAAACTAGACAAAAAAATACTGAACAATCCAATTAAAAAATGGTCTAAAGAGCTAAACAGAGAATTCTCAAAAGAAGAATCACAAATGGCTGAAAGACATTTAAGGAAATGCTCAATATCCTTAGTCATCAGAGAAATGCAAATCAAAACGACTCTGAGATACCACCTTACACCTGTCAGAATGGCTATGATCAAAAACACTAATGACCGTCTATGTTGGAGAGGATGTGGAGCAAAGGGAACACTCCTCCACGGTTGGTGGGAATGTAAACTTGTACAACCACTGTGGAAATCAGTATGGTGGTTTCTCAGAAAATTGGCAATCGATCTACCTCAAGACCCAGCCATACCATTCTTGGGCATATATCCAAGGAATGCTCAATCATACCACAAAGATACATGCTCAACTATGCTCATAGCAGCACTATTTGGAATAGCCAGAACCTGGAAACAACCTAGATGCCCGTCAACAGAAGAATGGATTAAGAAAATGTGGTACATATACACAATGGAGTACTACTCAGCAGAGAAAAACAATGACAGCATGAAATTTGCAGGCAAATGGATGGAACTAGAAAATATCATCCTGAGTGAGGTAACCCAAACACAGGAGGACAAACATGGTATGTACTCACTCATAAGTGGAAACTAGATATAAAGCAAAGGACAATCAAACTGCAACCCACAGAACCAGGGAGGCTACATAGCAGGGGGGACCCTAGGATGACTGTGGCTTAGAATAAGTTTTGGTTTTACTCAATCACTGGGCAAGCCTCAGTGAAACATTTCACTATTAGGATAAGAATTTGTACTGTATCAAGCTGATAATAGAAAAATAAATAAGCAAATTAAAAAAATACAGACCAAAACCAAAACAAAACATGGGGCCTGGAGAGATGGCTCTATGGTTGAGAGCACTGGCTGCTCTTCCAGAGGACCTGGGTTTGATTCCCAGCACCCACATGGTGGCTCACAACCATCTATAGCTCCAGTTCCAGGGGATCTGACACCCTCTTCTGGCCTCTGAGGGTACTTGTACTCACAGGTACATACCCACACACATATACACATAATTAAAACTATGATAAATCTTTTCTTAAAAAACACAATCATAGCCAGGCAGTGGTGGCGCATGCCTTTAATCCCAGCACTCGGGAGGCAGAGCCAGGCAGATCTTTGTGAGTTCGAGGCCAGCCTGGTCTACAGAGCGCGATCCAGGAAAGGAGAAACCCTGTCTTGAAAACAAACAAACAAACAAACAAACAAACAAACAAAAAACCACAATCATTTACCAATATAATATGTATTACTTCTGGGTCACCAGAAGGACCTGAAAGTCCGTGAGAGCGCAGAGCCTTCCATTTGTTCAAGAGTTTGTCCCAAGAGCTCACAGTTCATGTTGTAAAGAGGTCAACCAGGAACTAGAGTTCTGCTGGTCAGTGATGGCAGTTCCTCACAGCCATTCTCCAGCAGGGGTTCCAGCCAGACTGGGATGGTGTGTCTCAGTTTAACATAAGCTGTGTGCCTCTGAGGTCTCCTCCACAGAGTGCATCTGTGTAGTACCTGCCCAAGGATTCCGTGAGTTCATAGCAAAACGTTGAAAACCGCCTAGGACATACTAAGCCCATGCCTGGGTGGGATCTGTAAGACATACTAAGGCCATGCCTGGGTGGGACCTGCTGGTGTTGTCCATGTCTCCTTCTCCGTGTTATCTTTAGAAAATCATAGTAATCCTACATGGGTCACGGTCATCAACTGGATAAATCTCCACAAACTAACGCACAGCATCGTGCACACCCTGGGATCCTGCTGCAGACCCATGCCTTGGTTGTCTGTCTGTCTGTCAATAGAATCCCGTGCTGATTGCCCTTCCATGCCTGGCTGCTTTCACACACCATTGTTTACAAGATTACCAAGTCGTCCTCGTCACTCTCCTCTGTGGCTCTCATTGCTGCGTGAGAATCTGCTGTGTGAGCGTTCTGCTTCTTACTGGGTGCCCAGCCCTTTGAACAATGATGCTGGCAGCGGGTATTGCCTCCTACAGCTGTCTGCAGGTACACTGGTGTTGCCCATGAGCTTGTGGTCCTTTGGGACAGTTGCTTCCTCCTCGTGAGTGTAAACTGGCACAACCTCTATGGAAGAAAATTTAGAAATCTCCGAATTACAAACACACACAGCCTATGGTCCAGCAAGTCTCCTTCTGGAAGTTAATTCTACTTGGATGAAATTATTTCCTGGTGCTGTTTGTAATGTAAGCAAAAGATGATTACTTTATGGGATGAGTGTTTTGCTTGCACATATGTTTGTGTGCGTGTGTGTGTGTGTGTGTGTGTGTGTGTGTGTGTGTGTGTGTGTGTGTGCCTGCTGGCCTCAGAGGCCAAAAGAGGGCATTGGCTCTCCTGAAACTGGAGTTACAGTTTCCACCACGTGGGTGCTGGAAACCTAGCCTGGGCCCACCATAAGAGCAACAAGTGCTCCTAACCACTGCTTCATGTCCCCACCTCTCTCTCTCTCTCTCTCTCTCTCTCTCTCTCTCTCTCTCTCTCTTTCTCTCTCTCTCTCTCTCTCTTTTAAAGATTCATTTGTTTATTGTGTATACAGAAGAGGGTACCAGATCTCATTACAGATGGTTGTGAGCCACCATGTGGGTGCTGGGAATTGAACTCAGGACCTCTGGAAGAGCAGTCAATGCTCTTAACCTCTGAGCCATCTCTCCAGCCCCCCCCCCCACCTCTCTCATAAGCAAAAGGTGAGATGAGGTAGCATCAACTCAGTTTTTTAAAAAATCCAGGGGGAGGGAATGGGAGGAGAGGGAGGCCTCTCCTGCAGTTGGGATGTAAAATAAATGAATAAATTTCATTAATTAAAAAAAAAAATCTAGCCGGGTGGTGGTGGTGGTGGTGGTGGCGGCGGCGGCGGTGGCGGCGGCAGCGGCAGCGCACACCTTTATTCCCAGCACTTGGGAGGCAGAGGCAGGCGGATCTCTGTGAGTTCAAGGCCAGTCTGGTCTCCAAAGCGAGTTCCAGGAAAGGCGCAAAGCAACACAGAGAAACCCTGTCTCGAAAAACCAAAAAAAAAAAAAAAAAAAAAATCTATGGGTAACTGGGCAGTGGTGTGCATGCCTTTGATCCCAGCACTTGGGAGGCCAAGGCAGGCCAATCTTTGAATTAGTTCAGGGTCAGCCTGGTCTACACAGTGAGTTCCAGGACAGCCAGGGCTATGTAGAGAGACCCTGTCTCAAAAAATAAAATACAAATAAAAGTTTAGAAAGCCATTCATCAAAGGGCCTCCAAGCCTCACAGCCTAGGTTAACCCCAGGACCCACCAGGTAGAAGGAAGGAACTGAGTACAGCATGCTGCCTGTCCTCTGACCCCACACATGGACTGTGGTATGCATGCACGCGCCGTGCACTCACACACACTCACATTCACACATACTAAATAAATAAATGAATACAATTTTAAAAGCTCTATCATCAATTGGTTAAACTATAGAACATTAATTCATCAGGAGGCTGAGCAACTGGGGAGGAAGAGGAGGGAAGTCAGCACATGGTGATGTTGCTTGTTTTCTTGTTTTGTTTGTTTGTTTTGGTTTTTCAAGACAGGGTTTTGCTGTGTAGCCTGGGCTGTCCTGGAACTCATTATGTAGAACAGGCTGGCCTCAAACTCACAGAGATCCTCCTGCCTCTGCCTCCCATTGCTGGGATTAAAGGCGTTCACCATCACCTCTGGGCTGCTCAACATGTGTTGTAAAAACCTCTAAGGTAGAGCTGGAGAGATGACTCAGAGGTTAAGAGCACTGGCTGCTCTTCTAGAGGTCCTGAGTTCAATTCTAAGTAACCGCATGGCGGCTCACAACCATCTATAATGAGATCTGGTGCCCTCTTCTGGCCTGCAGTCATACATGCAGATGGAACACCATAATAAATAAATAAATCTTAAAAACAAAACAAAAAAACCTCCAAGGTGAACTATTGAGTGAACAAAAGCAGCTCAGTTAGCAGAGGACTTGTCTGGAACCCACAGGGCTCTCCCTGGATTCTACCCCCACGATGAAAAAAAATCACAAAAATCTGTGAGCTAAGTAAGTTTCCACTTGTGTGAGTTGCCTTTGAGGTTGATGACACGGCTTGAGAGCACTGGCTGCTCTTCTAGGAGCCTGAGATTCGACTTCTATCTAGTTCTGTTTCATAACTCCAGAGCGGTGCCCAGGTTTTACCCCGGTTCGAGGTGCAAACTCCTATCGTATGCACTTTTTAGTAGACTGTATTTCACAATAGAAAAGAATGGAACTCCCGAGTGTCCCCTGCATAGTCCCATAGCCATGGTCCCAGCCTCCTGGAAGGCCCCGGGTAGAAGCGCTTTCCTCTGCCGCTCTTGGCAGACAGGGAGTGAGGCTGAAGTGAGAGCCTGGGCTCCTCAGTCTGGCCTGGTGCCAGGCTGATCTGAATGGCAGGGAGTCCTGGCTCCGATGCCCTGTCCACGGCCTTTGTCCACAGCTGCAGCGTCTCCTCTTTCCACTGCCTCCAATCCATTGTTGACCAAGAGAGTCAGGACCCGCTGCCGCCTACATTATTGATGCTACTGCCTTAAGAGGGGAGACTCGGGATAAATTGAGCCCATAACCTCCCCAGAGCAGACAGTGTCCAGCAACCGAGACCTCAGGGCAACCGTGGACAGTCCGATCAGAAGGCAAAAGGAGCAAGGCATTAATTGGTAAGGCAATTATGGGCGGAAGCAAGGGCAAAGCGCCCCAGCGCCGGGCTCGACCCGGGAGGCCAGCCTCAGTGGAGCAGGAGTCGGGGTCCGCCAGCGCTGACAGCGCCCCCAGTCGGGATCGCAGGCTTGCCCGCGGCAAAGCCCACAAGACCAAGCCCGCTAAGAACCCCGAGGCCACCAAAGGCAAGGGGACCACTGAAGGCCGCAGGAAGCCCACCGAAGAGGGGAACCACCACTGCAGAGGTGCAGAGACTGGGGCATCACTGGAGACCCGGGAGAGGCAGGGCAGCTCTCAGGGTCGGGGCCACAGGTCCACGGGGAGCCGTGAGCCCGGGGACAGTCATGAGGAGCTCCCTGAGGAACAGAAACTCCCCGGGGAAGAAGAGTGGACGGTCAAGCGCGGCCGCCGCAGAAGAAAGGAGCAGGGACCATCGGCTCCGCGAGGCCACCGAGAGACTTCTGGCAGGGATGGGGACACGTCGGGCGGGGATGGTGGCAGCTCGTGCCTGGACAGTGAACACCAGGAGGCCCTGGACAGCAGCAGCCAGGGTGGTGGAGCCTCCGAGCAGCCAATCAAGGCCAAAACTTCTGACACGAGCTCAGAAGGCGCCCTTATCAGAAGACCCGAGTCAACTGGCGGCAGCAACCATCATGGCAATGGTGGACATGCCTTGGAGCTCCAGAGCAGAAAAGGGCCGTCGGGGACAAGGGCTCAGGGAGCGAGTGATGATTCCCGGACAGATACAGACTCGAGTCCCTGGTGGTCCGGGCACAGACGTCGCCCACGGAAGACCCCAGGAACCTCAAGCCGCATCCCTGAGTTCCAGGAGACAGAGCTGGCCAGGGAAGCTGCAGTCTCCAGCTCTCTCGAGAATAGCTGCACAAGCGCCCCCAGGGGCTCTCAGGGTCCTGGGGACTGCAAAGTGATCGCAGACACCAGTGATGTCGGGAAGCAGCCAAAGGCTGAGCTGCAAGGCACTGAGCCTGAGAAGGTGGAGGCCCCCAGGGCTCAGCGCCTCCAGGTCGGAGAGGTGGCGGGGAAGGTACCGGTGGCTGTGAGCGAGAGTGACACGGGAGCCAGAGAGGGAGCAGGTGCAGGGGACCGACGACCCCGGGACCCGGCGCCGCTGGCTGCACTCGTGGTGCTCCGCAAGCTGCGCACGAGGGCCCCGGCTGGCACGTCTCCCCAGGTCGCGGGTGGCCTCCACGGGAGCCTCAAGGCGCGGCTGCAGCGTGCGGCGCGGGCCCTGGGCCTCCTGCGCTGGCTGCGACTGCGGGTGGAGCAACGTCGGGGCGATGCGCGCAGGGCCAGCCCGCAGGAGCGTGAGGAGCGCGGCCGCGAGAGGGCGCTCGAGGCGCGGGGCGGGGTGCCCGGGCCACGGCGCTGGCTGGCCTTACGCCTGGCCTGTCGGGCGGTGCTCCGGGAACCGCCGCGGGCTCCCCCTGGCGGCAGTCCGAGCCCCCCGCAGGCGCTGAATAGCTCAGGCTCAGACCGCGCATCAGCCATCGAGGATGCAGCTCCAGATCCAAAGTTCGCGGTGGTCTTCCCCCGGATCCATAGTGCGCAGGAGTCGTGCAGCGGCCCCTCAGGAGCATCCACGGACGCCCCCACTGGGGAAGGCCGCGTTTCGTCTCCTGCAGGGGCTGCAGAGTACAGAGAGGAGCAAGGGGCTAGTGAAGAAGGGGTGGTCAGGTCCCGCCAGGCTCCCTCCTTTTCCCCGTCTGCCCCCAGTGGAACTTCACCGGAAGAGAACCGGAGCGAAGCGGAGCCAGAGAACCCAGAAGTTAAGACTCCTGTGCACTGGGCGCAGGGCTCTACTCCCTGCGTAGACCCTGGGCTTGGCGCTGATACTCTGCTGCCTCAACTTACCTTGGAGACCCGCCTACGGCAGAATAGCCCTTGCAGGTCCCCAAGGGAGCGGTGGGAACCAGAGGATGACGCTGAGGCAGCGCTGGAAAGGGATCTGGAGCTGAGCATCCGGAAGGACCTAGAGATGCCACCCTTCCCCGGTGCTAAGACCGGGAGTCTCCCAGAGGGCCTGGAAGACATTGAGGACCTCGCCCGGCTGCGGTGAGGGGCATAATGCCGAATCAGCCACCCCTGGCTCCTAATTCCTCATACTCCATCCCGCCCTTGGACCCTTGAAAATCGTATGCACCCTTACTGAGTCAACAGGGGATTTTTGCCTCATAGAAAGGCAGGTTTGGGGTGAAAGGTTCCCCTTCCAAAGCTCCAGCACCCCCCTACTGTGGATTGAACCTAGGATCTCCTGCATTCGGTCCTGATCTATGTAGTCCCCCATCCCGCTTTTTTTTAAATGGGGGGTGGGAGCAAACTCTTGAGTGTCACAGTATACATGCAGAGGTCAGAGGACAACTTGCAGATGTTGACTCTCTCCCACCCTGTCGTTTCTGGGGCTCACACTCGGGTTATCAGGCTTTGGGGCAGTGCTTTTACCCTCTTAGCCATCTTTCTGCTCACCCCCACTCCCAGCCCCACCCCCACATGCGCCCTGTTTATACCTTTTCATTTGTTAAAAAAAATCTCACCAGGTTGCCCAGGCAGGAGTTGAACTTGTGATACTCCTGCCCAGGGTTTCCCTAACGCGGCAGGGCTAGCCCAGGACCCGCGCTCAGCAACTTCACCCTTGTCCCGCTCTCCCCACAGGCTGGTGTGTGACAGCTCTGTGCTGCTGTGCCTCAAGAAGAGGTTCCACCTGGGCCGCATCTATGTAAGGGGACCACAGAGAAGGGGCGTGGCTGGAGTCTCTTCCTCTGTGGGCACCCCTGGGGCTTCCCTTCATCCCTAGACTGAGTGTAAAGCCGGCTCTACCTGGGGTCCCGCAAGGCATGGGCCGGTCTGGGGTGCATCGGAGGTCCCCATTTGTGTCCCCTTCTCATAAGAGCCTCTGCTTTCTTTGCCAGACTTTCGGGGGGCCCCTCCTGCTTGCTCTGAACCCCCACCAGGCACTCCCTCTCTTCTCACCTGAGGTCTTGGCCAGCTACCATCCCAGGAAGGCCCCGAACACCACTCCGTAGGTGACTTTGCCCCTTTGCCCCCGTTCGCGACTCCCTGCACGTACGTCTTACTGAGGGAGTTCCAGGGCCCGTGGGCGCTTCGCCTATTCCTAGAGGCCCCAGACAACCATCGCGGGCACCTTCTCATCACTCTCGTGTCCTTCCCCCCAGACACATCTTCGCCATCGGGGCAGCAGCCTATAGCCTGTGTCAGAGCTCCGGACAGGACCCCTGCATCCTCCTAGGGTGAGTCATGACTGCCTTGTGTGCCTGAATCCACATACCACCCTAACCACTGATCCTGTGCCCTGCTGGGCAGCAATTCAGGGCGATACCCTCGGGACTGCCCTGAGGCCAGCCTGAGTGGCCCTGCGAAGCTCTGCTTCCTGATTGGTCTCCGTGAATCAGGTCTCACTTCCTGGGCTCAGCGGGGCGGCCCTGGGTGCCCCCTCCCGTCCTTAGCTCCTCCCTCCTGCAGGGGGCACAGTGGCTCGGGGAAGACGGAGACTGCCAAGAAGATCCTGGAGCTTCTAAGCAGCCTGGGGCAGAAGCAGACAGAGGCCAGAGGGGCTCAGGTGAGGGCTGGCTGGAGGCAGCTGGTCATCGCTCAGGCCATTTCTCCACGCCTGGCTTTTCATGGGTCAGCCCCAAGATTCCCCTGATGCAGGCAGTCGGGTTGGGCCCTTTTACTTTATTTTTTATTGTTTTTTGCTATTGGTGGTAGGTTTTTTTAAATTTGCTTTTGCTTTACGTTTTTTCAAGACATGGTTTCTGTATAGTCCTGGCTGTCCTGGAACTCAATCTGTAGACCAGGCTGGCCTCAAACTCAGAGGCCCACCTGCTTCTACCTACAGAGTGCTGGGATTAAAGACACGAGCCACCATGCCTGACTCTATTTTTTTTTTAAATGGGGTCTCAGGTAGCCCAGGCTGGCCTAGAATTTCCTGTGTAGCTGAGCATGACCTTGAACTTCTGATTCTCCTGCTTGCACCTCTTGAGTGCACCACCACACCCAGTTTTATGTGGTGCTGGGGACTGAACCCAGAGCCTTGTGGATGTTAGAAAAGCACTCTACAAATTGAGCTACACCCCCAGCCCTTTTAATTTGGGGGGGGGGTTCTGATAGGACTGACCCCACGCGGGCACACACACAGCCAGCAGTACAGCGGACTCTCAGTGGGGAGTGGGTGCCATGGCCATCTTAGGTATACCTGAGTGTCCCAACCCTCACACAGCTAAAGGACATACTGCCCGTGCTCAGCAGCTTTGGCCACGCCAAGACCATCCTCAATGCCAATGCCAGCCGCTTTGGCCAGGAGCTACGCCTCTGCCTGCAGCAGTGAGTGATGGAGGTCCCGAGGACGCAGGGACACCTGAGATGGGTTACTCTCCTTGGGCGCTCGGATACTTCCTGCCTTTGCCCCCAGCCCCAGGATGGCCCCTTCTGCAAAGTGCCCCCTGGTATGCCACCCTGTCTCTTTTACCCACAGGGGAGTCACCGTAGGAGCCTCTGTGTCCCACTATCTGCTTGAGGCCTCCAGAGTGGTGTTTCAGGTAAGGACCCGCCTCCTGCCCACCCTTCGGAGGAGGAGTCACAGCCCTCAAGCCCTGCTCCACCCCTAAGCAAGTTTCTCTCTCCAAGGCCCAGGCTGAGCGAAGCTTCCATGTTTTTTATGAGCTGCTGGCAGGGTTGGACCCCATGGAACGTGAGCAGCTCTCTCTGCAGGGACCTGAGGCCTACTACTACCTCAACCAGGTAGGGGCGAGGCGCTCATGGATGGTGCGCCCAGACAGGGGCTCAGCCAGGGCTTTCAGGATGCTGCGGGGATGCCAGGAGCTGCCCCACCACACACCTGCTGTACTCTGCAGGGCAGAGCCTGCAGGCTCCGGCGCAAAGACGATGCCCAGGACTTCAAAGGGCTGGTGGAGGCCCTGCGGGTGCTGGGCTTGTGTGCAGAGGAGCTGACTGAAGTCTGGGCTGTGCTGGCCACCATCCTGCATCTGGGGAACATCTGCTTCTCTTCTTCAGAGGTGGGCTTCCCTGTGGGCAGGATCAGTGAGCACACTGGATGGGCAGTGGTGATGCCAAGCCATTGTGTGCCTCTTGGTACTCAGCTGTCACCCTCAAGGACAGGCCAGAAGAGGGCACCAGATCTCATTATGGATGGTTGTGAGCCACCATGTGGTTGCAGGAAATTGAACTTAGGATCTCTGAAAGAACAACCAGTGCTCTTAACAGATGAGCCATCTCTCCAGCTCCCCTTGACACTTTTTAAAAGAAACTTAATTCTCATGTCAACAGCTGTGTCCCAAGGGGTGTTGGTTTCCCTCTAGCAATAAAGGCAGCAGAGAGTGAGAAAGAGAAAAGGATGGCCCAGCCACTAAGAGAGAGTCGGGGCTCACACTCAGGGCCTTCAGCCCCGCCCGGAGCCTGGCTCACCACAGTCCAGAGTGCCTTGTGGGCTGTTGGCTCTTTATTTATTTTGAGACAGAGTTTTACTCTGTAGCCCAAGCTGGCCTCAGACTCACTGAGATCCGCCTGCCTCTGCCTCCCAAGTGCTGAGATTAAAGCGTGCACCACCACAGCGGTCTGCTGTCGGCCCTAAAGAAGGGCAGCTGGCTAGATAAAGCAAGGCCGTGCCTGGGCACTATTGCATCACACAAGCAAAGCTCTTTCTGTCCCCCCCCCCTCCTCTGTCCAGCGGGAGTCCCAAGAGGTGGCTGCTGTGTCCAGCTGGGCTGAGATTCACTTGGCAGCCCGGCTGCTCCAGGTGCGACCAGAGCGCCTAGAAGGGGCAGTCACCAAGAGGGTCATGGTGAGCCCCAAGGGTGCTGGGAAGGTGGGAGGCGCAGCCTGAAGCACCTGTGGGTATGGCCTGACATCCTGAGCATGTCTCTGGTCTCCAGGACACTCCCTATGGCCGCGTCTCCAGATCTCTGCCGGTGGAAAGCGCCATCGATGCCAGGTAACCTTGGGGATCAGAGAGGGGAGCCAGGTGTGGCACTCTGCTGGGCAGGGCTCACTTACCGTGTCTGCAGGGACGCCCTGGCCAAGGCCCTGTACACAAGGCTCTTCAACTGGCTTCTGAAGCAGATCAACGTGAGGCTGGCTCCACCAAGGGAGGCAGACAGTGTGGGCACCATCACTGTCGTGGACGCCTATGGCTTTGAGGTCACCCTTTGGGAGGGGGAGGAGCAGGCAGGTGGTGCCCATCTTATCCCAGCTCCTCCCCGGAGGGCTCGAACAGGCCCGAGGTTTTGCCTTTTAACCTTCTCCCCCTTGTTAAAAACCGTTAGATTGCATTCCTTAAGCTGGCCACCAAGGTCTAGTCCCTTATTTGGCCACTTCCTCCTCCTGAGGCTGACTACCAAGGCCCAGCAATCAAAGTATTGAAGTTCAGCAATCAAAACCCCCTTTTAGCTCACTAAATTAGCATACCCAGTTAAAACAAACCAACTCATCCTAACATGGGGTTTCCCCTTTACCTTTATAAACCGCCATTTGCCACTGGGCCACGCCAGTCTCCTCTCTATCCAGAGACAGTCCTTTGTCCCTCCTGGGCAGATATCCCCCCCCCTCCCTGATCCTTTCCTCTTCTCCCTTGTCCTCTATCTCCTGTCTTTGTCTCTTATTCCTTGTCCTTTGTCCCTTGGGGGCCAATAAGTCTTAGTGCTGAGGACTTGTGTGTCTTGTACGGAGTCCCATCCTTTCCCTCTCTACACTGTTTGCCTATCTGACCTATGCCTTTGCTGGCTTCTTCTGGGGCGACTGAGTGGAGTCCTTGAGTGTCCCTCGGTGGGGATGAGGAGGCACCAGGATGGACAGGGAACAGGTCCTGCCTCTTGGGTCTTTAGAGTCTGGTTGAGGCTGGCAGAGAATCTTGGGGCTCTCGATCCACTTATCTCCATCTGCAGGTTCCTGGGAGGACGGTGGTCCTCCACATGTGCCTTTCCCAGCCGGGCCTGGGAACCCTCCTGGATTCCCTCTGGGAGGGGCTGGAGCCCACCCCAAGCCCCAGGGCTCTCTGCCTCACCTCCCCTGCTGGCTGTGTGACCCCACACAGTTAATTTACCCTTCTGAGGCCCCAGCAGTAAAGTAGGCAATGTTAGCTCTCTACAGATAGAGTCCTGCCCTGCTCTGTCTTGTTCTGGCATCGCTTCTGGAGAGTTCTGTCCTGCATGGCCACCTCGGGCTGGGTCTGTCTGCAACCCCACCTCCCACATACCAAGGAGGAAGGAAATAGACCCTTTCCAATCTTCCAGACTGTCACAGCTGTGCACTCCTTGCCTCAAGAGTCGCCTCCTTGAGTCGTGGGGAGGGGCCAGCAATAACGGGGCTTGGAGAAAGGAGATAGGGCACCCCCAGTTCCTGGGTGGGCACTGTTCACTGCCCTTTGTGTCCTGCCTTCCTTAGAATGTCTTGGATGGGAAGGGTTGTATGCATTCGTGTTCTGGTGTGTTTGCAGGTGTGGACAGCTGTGCAAAGGTAGTGGGTGCCCTCCTGGGCTTGAGCCTGCATGCTGAGGCTGCAGAGGAAAGCAGGGGAGGAAGGCTAGAAGGCTTCCTGGAGGTGGCCGCCAGGGGGACCTACTGGTGAGGCTATGGGATTCTGAGGGCCACCAAGACAGACAGTGGGAAGATGCACCCTCCAGAGCCTCTCAGGATGGCCGTGATCAGAGCTCCAGAGGCTCACAGCGCAATTGGAGCAGAGGGCAGGAGCGTGGAGAGCTGGAGGGAAGGTTGATGATACACAGCTGGGGCTGGTCTATGGTGGCCTGTAGGCTGCACCGTGTCCTTTAGACTTGTCCCTGTTGGCTGCGGTCTCAGCTGCGGGGCACCACTCTAGAGCCCTGGAGAGAAGGGAGGGGTCTCCACTCGCCTGCCCCCACCTCCAGTGCAGATGCCGTCTTCACCCACCCCAGGCGCTGCGGGTGAACGGCTTAGAGCAGCTGTGCAGCAACCTGGCCAGCGAGCGCCTGCAGCTCTTCTCCAGCCAGAGGCTGCTGGCCCAGGAGGAGGTAGGGAGCTGGGCACAGCTGTGGCAGGTGACAGAGCACTGCCCAGCCCAGAGGTTGCCCCAAAGCCCCCTTTCCTGGCGGGTGGGGAGGGTCAGTCCTTCTTAACCTCCATGTACATGAGTACGAGGAGGGGAATCTCTTTGTCAGCTCTGTGATTGCTCCCTGCCCCGACAGACGTGGGCTGTGAGTTACCAAAAACTGGTTCTTTCTAGGAGGAGTGCCAGCGGGAGATGCTGAGCTGGGTACCCATTCCGCAGCCGCCTCCGAGGGAGTGCTGCCTGGAGCTCCTGGTGGGCCAGCCCCACAGCCTCCTGAGCATCCTGGACTCCCAGACATGGCTAGCCCAGGTATACCAGTCGTCAGTGATGCTCCGTGTCACAGACAAGGAATGGGGGCCCTAAGCAGCCAGGATGAGGCCAGCAGGGCCTCCTGGGAGACAAGCAGGTTGTAGGGTCCAGAGACCCAGCCTTTCTCCACAGCCCAGGGAAGGTGCATTCAAGAGGGAAAGCCCTGGGCTTCCACCAATGCCTTAAAGAAACATTTAATTTTGTATGAATATATTTTTGTTTTTGTTTTTGTTTGTTTGTTTCAAGACAGGGTTAAGACAGGGTTTCTCTGTGTAGTCTTGGAACTCACTCTGTAGACCAGGCTGGCCTTGAACTCAGAGATCAACCTGCCTTTTCCCCCTGAGTACTGGGATTAAAGGTTTGCACCACCACCACCTGGTGTGTATGAATGTTTTGTCTTCAAATGTGAGCACACACACACACACCATGGAAATCAGAAGAGGTTGTTGGATCCCCTGGAACTGGAGTTAGGATGGTTGTGAGCTTCCATGTGGGTCCTGGGATCAGAACCTGGGACCTCTGGAAGAGCAGCCAGTGCTCTCAGACATGTCTTCAGCCCCTTAGTCTTGCTTTGTTTTATATATATCATGTATATAGTCTTAGCTGGCCTTGAACTCCTGATCCTTAAGCATCACATCCTAAGTACTGGATTAGAGGCATGCACCACCAACAGCCAGCTATAAATGCTTCTTGGGTTAGTAACTGGCTATGGGGTGTAAATACTCCCCTTACACATCAGCCTCTGCCACCCTGTATTTGAACCCCTGGAGAGAGCAGACACTCCTGATTGTCAAGTAATGTGATGAAGTCACTAGCAACACACGGAATCAGCTTAATGATCAAAGGAATTTGTTTGGGGGTTAACTCACAACCCCGGGAGACAGGAGATTTATCGTAGGGTCTGGAAAGCTGAGCTATGTCCCACACTGATCTGCCTGGTCCAAGGTCTCAGAGTCCAAACCATGCAGTAGCCAAGAGCGCTGCAGATGTGCACCCCAGGTCTTAAGGCCACACCCCTGGGGCAGGTACCTCAAGGTCGTAGGCAGGTGTAACTGTTAGTAGGGGTGGTGCTTCAGGGCATGGCTCAAAGAGCCCTCCACTACAGTCAAGTGCAGTCAGTGTGACTTCTCTCTGCACTAGACTGAGCTGCAGGCGGGCTGGGCCTGTCTGAGGGCTCGGATTCCATCTGTGGGGCGCTCACATTGAAGGAAGAACAGAAGAATTGGCATGCAGGAACCATTCTAAGGGGAAAAAAAAAATCAGACACAGAGGATTCAGTTCTTCCCCTCCTGGATCCAGGAGAGTGGGAAAAAATGTTTGGGGCTGGAGAGAGGGCTTATCAGTAAAGAGCACTGGCTGCCCTTGCAGAGGGGCCAAGTTCAATTCCCAGCATCCACATGGTGGCTCACAACCGTCAATATAACTTCTGTTTCAGCAGATCTGATACCCTCTTCTGACCTCCATGGGCACCAGACACATATGTGATGCACATAGAGATATACAAGTAAAGCACACACACATATTAAAAAGGAAATAAACCTAAAAATTAATTAATTTTTAAAAATGTTAATCTGGGCATGGTGGCTCACACCTAACATTTAGGAGGCAGAGACAGTAGGTTCTCTGTGAGTTTGAGGCCAGCCTGGTCTACAGAGTGAGTTCTAGGACAGGCACTAAACTACACAGAGAAACCCTGTCTCGAAAAACAAAAATCAATCAATCAATCAATCAATCAATCAGATGGGTATGATAGCACGTGTCTTTAGTCCCAGGACTCAGGATGCAGGTCCAGGCAGATCTTTATGAGTTTGAGGCCAGCTTAGTCTACACGGGGAGTCCCAGAACAGCCATGGCTACACAGTGAGGCCCTGTCTCAACAACAAAGTCAGGCTTGGCAGGGTAGCCCCATCAGAAAGCTGAAGCAAGATGGTCACTTAAGCTCAGGAGTTCAAGGCCAGCCTGGGCAACATACAAAAGTCCCTACCTTAAAAAGGAAGAGGGAGGGAGCCTGGGGGCGTACAGTTCAGTGGTAGTGCTTACCTGGTGTGTGAGACAGTGGATTCAGTCTCTAGAGTCTAACAAACTCCACCCGACCCGGGGTGGTAATGAATACCTGTGAGCTCTCACAAGGCGGGGGCATGAGGAACGCAAATTTGAAGCCAACACAGCCTGATGTAGTAATAATAATAATAATAATAATAATAAAGCCAGGCTGAGCTAGGCAGTGCGTATGAGATCATTTCTCACAATAAATGAGAATCCCAGCTGTGTGCCTGGGTGGGGAGCTCTGTGGAGTCACAGAACATGTGCAGAACCCAGACCTTTGGGAACTGAGGCTGGAGGGTAGACACCAAAAATAACGACCCTGGGATAGCGACATAGCTCAGTTGGTGGAGGGCTTGCCTAGCAGGCACAGAGCCCTGGGTTCGATCCCCAGCTCTGATCACCACGGTGTGGTGGTGCTGTTCTATCGAATAGTTGGGGCCGACCAACCACCATCTTCAGGGGTTCAGCTGTGCCTCCTTGCCAAGGATCATCCCAGGTGGGTTCTTAACTGTTTCTAGTCTCTCACAGAGGGATCAGGAGGGTCACAGGACGCTCACCTGAGTATCCAGCCTCACTTTACTGCTTGTATTCGATGCGGCCCTCGGCCCTCGTTGGCCTGCATGGCACGTGGCTGGGGG